TGTTTGTGCGTGCGTGCGTGTGTGTGTCCCTCTCGATTTGCATCTGGTGCGTGATGGAAAGACGGAGAGGAAATGGTGGCGCTGCAACGTTGAGGGGAGCGGCAAAAGGCGGGGAAATAATTATTTTGGTTGCCGGCGCAGAGAGAAAGAAAGAAAGAGAGGAAAAAAAAAAAAGAAACATGGCACGACCGTTGTATAATCTTTTTTATTTCTTCTTGATTTGTCACATTATGCGAGTCAATTTATTGCAACTGATGGCCATGCGCCTCTCGCCATCAACGACGCCACTTCAACATCACAGGCGAAGAGCACGAAACACAAACTACAGCTGGACGCACGTGCTTCACTCAACATTGATGTCAATAAAGGAAATGAACACCGCCATAATAGACGACGGCAATAAAAATACAACAATATATATATATATGTATATACGCATGTATGGTGGATTGTGTACTGACGTCAATGTCTATGATGCCTCGGATGTGAAATCTCCAGCGCATCTCTTCTTGTCTTAATCAACAGCCTTTTTTTTTTTTTTTTAATTATTTTTTTTCCTTCCAAAGAGGCGGGAATTAGGAAAAAATAGATGACTCATTGAGCAACACCACCAAAAACAAAATACAGAAAAAAAAAAGAACGTCTCCAATATTTTTTTTTTATTAATTCAAAACAAGTGATTGGCGGTATGACGCAATTAACGGAACTAATAGACAGGCTGGACACAAAAACGTTTCCCGACATGACTTTTTCCAGCATTCGAGCCATTGCCAACTACATGAATAGCCACACTACAAATAACAATGATATTGAGAATGACCTATCTACTCTAAACACTCAACAAAGAGACATCCTCATGAAAGTCCTTTACTGCTGCCTTGCAAACGACAGTCGCTACAGCGCCACATACTTTCGATGGCACGAAAAACTATACGCCGCAGCAGGAAGTGGAGCCATCATACGCGTAATGACAGACAGGCCAAAAGCTACTGGAGAACAAACAAACAACAAGAGGAAATAAAACAAAAGAAAAAGAACCGAAACAACAGTAAAAAAAAAAAAATTTATAGTTTATAACT